ACGTCGAATGGTATTCGGGAGAAATAACTCACCCTCGATAGATGAACTGATCACACTGCATAGTTTGCGCTGGCTTGGCCACGTGTTACGTATGCCAGTCGACCGACTTCCTCGAAGGGCTTTTTTCACACAACCACGTGAAGGGTGGATGAGAGCCAGAGGCGGTCAAACAATGACTTGGCAGCGAAGTATGAAAGCCATTACCAGCAAACTCAGCTGCGCTGGTCACTGTCGTCTTCCTGGATGGGGACCCCGGGACGGGCCAAACCAGTGGCTAGAGACATTGTCAGATATGGCCCAGTCGCGTCTTCAATGGCGCTCGTGCATCCAAGCTATTGCCTTCACTGCATAGCTCCTTTTCCACCCCACCCCACCCCACTTGACAGCCCACTGTACCTATCCCTCCCCCCAAAAAAAACATCGGTGAACGAAACTGTGGCAGCTACAACCACTGTACGACGAGTACGCGGTTATTACAGCTGACAATGATGATGATGATGATTCTGGCATGATTGAACCTTGGGAAACTAAGCTCCAGTCGAAGTAGATGCCACGCATGGGCACAGACCGTCAGTCGGATGATAAAAGGAGGGGGACATATGGGGGATTCGGTCAAATGTTTCGACTTTTTACAGACCGAAGTCTTAGATCTTGGGAGTATTGTTACCCAGTGCAATGGTTGCGAGTTTACTATTAGGCTGGTGTGGGCACTGGGTAAAGAATAACGGCATTATCCACAAAATAATATCCTTGACGACCAGGTCTTTTCAGAAGTTGATCTCTGTATTGGTAATGCGGAAATAGCTTCTTTGCACCTGAAGAATACACCATCCAGAGAGAGTGTCAAACCTGCCTGGTGTCTGCACACACTCATCATTTTCGATCTCTAGTTTTCAAAAGATGCTGACCAGCCGAGGTCAGCATCCGATCTTTCATGTCAACTGAGGACAATCCACTTCTCTTCAGTTCATCGACTATAGACTGTATGCTAAATGCACGTTCCAGAAGCTACAGTTTCGGTCATCGGATAATGGGATAGTGAGATAGATGCAAAGAATCGTTCAGCTAAAACACCATTTCGGTGCCTAGCTGCCATGCCGCCCGAAGGAAGCACGAGAACTGGGATACTGCCGGTTGCCCAACCCTAGAAGGAGGAATCGAGGCGCAGAGGTCGGTTTGGAATCACGGACCTTCCGGTCAGTAAATCCTCGCTCTAGCCACTTAGTTACCTCACGGTCAAGTGTTGAAGGTGATCTCATAGCCAATTAGTCGGCATTGATTCAGTCTAGTTATTTGAAGGAACGGGAAAACGGGCAGTTACTCCCCGAAGGCGACAGCTTTGATACAACGCTGCTGACTGCGTGACCGAACCATGTCTTCGACCACTGAACATGAATCAGACGACAGCTTGCCGTATACTTGTACGCTTCTACAAGATTTCGCGTACAGTGCTCTCTTAAGAGATAAAAATTTGGAAAGGGCACCTTTGATCGCGAAATGCCGTCAAGGTTTCTGACGATCGGTGGAGTAGAAAACAGCCTTCAGTTCAAGAGAAGCGAATAATGTGGGTTGTTTGAAATGGTAGCGCTTTTCCCGAACTTGTCTCAGGGCCGGACATGATTTTGTCTGTCCCGATAATCCATCACACAAAATAATGTCAAAGAACACCTTGGATGCCACAGCTAACAAACTGATGCCACTGTGGGTTTCGGATAACGTTCTTGAATCTCTTGGAGGCTGGGTTAATTGTCTAGGCGCTCCCTTCCACGATTACCCTGTTTCTGTTCCAAAGTCGTCCGCGGTAGTCGTCAGAGTGAACACCAGGGCTTCATCATCTTTTTTGACAGTGCAAGATGCGGACTATAACCCCCAGATGCCTAGCAGCGTCGGAAGAATAACACCTCGCGCCAGATTTTTTTGGCGAACGCGTTCCATTCGGGCTTCTTAGGTTCTCCTAGGGTTGCGATTTAGTCGAGTCAGCTTAATCATTCTTCAACTAGGTGAAATAGATCGTGGGTGTTAACTGCAACGAAGGCCATCACCTTTCTCAAACCTTTGAAATCCACGAGCGTTCTCTGTCGTTGTTCAAACTCTTGATTACTTTGGGTCTGAATGATCCGTGTGTGCTGTCGTTGTCGCTAGTCGCTTATATGGCATTCCTAACAGCATATAGTCTGTCGATCTCGACCATATCTACTGTTCGTTTGATTGAGTAGGCACGCTTGAAGAGGCTGGGAGCATAACTCCCACTCTTCCACTCATCTTTCAACTAGTCATAGTCATCGACGTGGCTGCAAGTCTCCAGTGGCTTTTCAGCTCGATGAACTCGATGTTGTTGAGCTGCTGAAAATGACTGAAGCTGGTGAACAGAATCTCTCTTATTCGGCTTACGTAACTCCGGGGATAGGCGAACTGATAAACGAGCCCACACGATAGCATGACCGGAGTCAATTTCCGTACCTTAGGGGAAATGGCAGTGTTTAATTGGAGTCTTCTGTCGGAAGCGTACAGCCACATGATTTAACTAAGTCTATAACCGGCCTTCGACCTCCAGTTAAATCGGTGTGAGCGCTAGTGCTGTAATATGATATCCAGCACCTAACTCAAGAATTCGCCCCAAATTATCAGTACAGTGTGTGTTAGTTCTGAGTCTACCGCTAAACTATGCTTATCCGGACCTTAGTCGTCCGACATGAGCGTTTATATCATTCACCAGAAGGACTATCTGCCCTTCTTGCTTACACAGGTGGTTTTAATTTCTCGTTAAAACCCACCTTCAACCCAGCCTCAAAATTCCATTTTGTCGGGATGCATAATAGCATGACACAGTGCCTTGTCGATTTGCGTTGATCTCAGTTGAATCAGACAGACACAGCACACAGACTATTATTAGAATCTAATCCGAAAGAAGCGCCTTCAGTCCTGAGGCTGAAGTCAGCTCGCGGGCCATTTTCTCAAGACCACTGGTGGCCTAACGGTTAATTGTTCAAACTACCAGCCGGGAGGTCGTGGATTCGAGACTCTTCGGAGTTTCGTGAGATGCGCACTGCTCACGATTCCCAATAAGGATGAAACAGCTGTACAGTGCTTCTCGGCTTTTCAGCATAGATTGGCTTCAGTTACAGGACGAAAATTCCGGGTAATCGCTCCACTAACCTACCACCTGTTTTTTCCACTGGGTCATTGGGTATTCATAACTGTTTTTCAGGTTCCTGTCTCGGAGGTGTTAGTATCTTGAGAAAGTGCGCACTCACTTGTGTGTACTTCTTCAGGTGCACGGTGAATCGTTGTTGGGGCGTAACTAGCTTAACATTTACCACGTACTTGTTTTAGGAACCACTCACCTTGTTGGTTGGCTGGAGCGTTGACTCCCGATCGTATTTTTTATTTCAAAGCCTGACGGACAAGTAGCCATAGATCATAGGCAGTGTTACATATAGAGCGTATTTGGTTCGCCTCTAGCAGTAATGTTTCATGTCAAAATTCTGTATGTGCTCAATGACCGCTTGGTGGGTAGGTCCCCGTGGACTGTTCACTAAAAACGTTGGGATTTCACAAAAAGTAGCAGTCGCATGGCTTGATAGTTTCGTGCCCATGTTAGGTGGCTTCCGTAGATGCCGAAGCACAGTACTGTTGCTCCGGATCCAGACAGCCATTACCCCTCACAATTAGTTATGTAGAATCTGGTAGAGAAGAATGACAACAAATAATCTTATTTAACCTGTGACCAGTTGCTACGTATCTTGTGTTTTCACTTCCACTCTTTAGATTTGGTGATCGAGGCCTGTTTGCCGAAATGCCTGCAAATCCCAATTCACAATGACTTTTAGGCGCCCCGTTTGGTTCCGCTGGAGCCGACTCTCAACGTATACCCCCGTGGTACGTTGCATATTTGTCTTACCTTCCTTTACAGCGCCACTCTTATCCTAGTGTATTTCTCTCACGTCAGCCAGATACAGATTCGTCGCCTATTTTGAACAACGCCTTAATCGATACTCAGACACTAGTTTCTGATGTCAAGCAAGTTTGTTAATGCCTGAAGTTTCAACTAACCTCTAGGCTCTGGTACCTGTCCCTGCGTCCTTTTGCGACTTAGTCCGTTACCAGTTTGATGCTGGTGGGAAATTGCTCAGACCGTTGCTTGTGACATTGGTGGCTGCTTGCGCCAACATTCATGCAAACTCACCGGGGGAGATCAGTTTTGAAGATGATCCCCTTTTTGGTTTGTATCGAAATCGCAAACTGGGTAAGTATTCTTTACCACTTATCCGAGCAGCTGTTGCAGGCCACACTGTCTCTCCCAGCCAGCATCGAATCGCAATGATCACTGAAATGATCCATACTGCGAGCCTTATCCATGATGACTTGTTGGATTCTGCCAATCTTCGTCGTGGTAAGAAGACAGTTTACAAAAGATTCGGACACAAGGAGGTTCGTGTTAGTTTGAAGTACCCGTGTTTGCTTGGTCGTTCATTGCAACAGCTCGCATTGTAGTTATCTGTCTTTAGTTCGCCAACTGACCTATGGTGCACTTAACCGCCTCTGCGTAATCTGGCTGTTTTTACCAGCTGACTCAGGAAAGACCTCACATAGTTAGAGTTGTACAAACAAGCACTAGAATTTTTCTACTTATTTGTCCATGGGTCCACTATCTTCGCTTTATATGGGGTTGTGTAGTGTTGAGTAGCTCTCACTTGCTGTCCCCCAGATGATCCAAGATAGTCAGCGCACCCTAGTTGGAACCCAACAATAAGATCCGAATACAGAAAGAACACACTGAGCTCCAAAATAGTAGGTAACAGCGGTTCGTGGAACGTGAGCGTTACAACAGGTTCAACGTTTACAGCGCACAACATATATTCAAGTGGACTTTTACCGTGGATAATGGGCAGCACATTCTCCGCGTGTATTTATTGAAACGAAAACGAATCACGCTGACTTCTGTGATACATTTTTTCCTACTGTTAGGAGGCAGAGAAAAGGAGTGCATCAAAATACTATTCAATACCTGGAGTGTGTCGCACATTCAACCAACCAGACTGAACCGAAAATCCTCTTCGTTAATTTTATTTCCATTTACTTCTCTGAAACATATCCAGACTTTATTTTCTTTAAGGTCAAAAATATTCTCTCATTACTGACGAGGCATACTGTCATTAACATCACCCAGAATTAGTTTCCATACTTATCCGGTTTATTAGGCATTTTGCTTCTGAATGAACGCCTTCTCAAAGACATGGACATATCGGTTTGAAGGTTTTCCGGCCGTGCGACGTAGATTATTGAAAGCTTTCCAATGGTTATCAGCTGGGCAGTACTCCGCTCTAAGTTCACTCACACTTCTGATTAAATCATGGTTACCCTTTCATTTGGAGAAATCCATGTGGAAGGTGGATCAACACTAAACTACAAGAAACACAAAGTGGTGCCCTCTGCAAAATCCCTATGTACACTGAAGTCCCTGCGCGTTGATGACGTCAGGGGCTTTCGGTGTTTGACGGGGTATCTCCGAGTGGGGTTGAGATCGATTCTGGAGGTGTCGGAGAAAGGCAAAGAAGGCTGAACCACCTCGTTGACCACGAAGTTGAGGTGGAACCCTTGCCTGATAACAGTAGATGTGGCGAACTCAGGAGAGAGTTCGCCGCATATACATATTAGTCCACCGGAGGAGGCATGCAGAATCTTTACGATAGAGGGAATTCGAAATGGACACCGTTTACTGCCGGACATTACCTGGCGATCAGCAGAGTCAAAGGTAGATTTCAGACCAAGAATAACTACCAAATCCCTTCACAATACCACCAAGCTCTAGGCACCTCAGAGGGGAAAAATAACTCATTCGATGAGGGGACCCTCTTTCTAAGTAGTCCTCACTCAGTCCACACGTGATCAAGTGATGTAGACTCCGTGATTAAAGGATGAGCGGCGCTAGTTCCTGTTTAAGTATGAGCTGATTACACTGTTGATAAGCGGAACGATCAGTTTTTCAGCTCTTAGCCGGGAAGTTGCTGGTTCTAAACTCTCTGGCGTTTGGTATGATGTGCACTCCTGACTCCCAATAAGAATGAAACAGTGTTACGTCGCTTATGAGCTCTTCCGCCTATTGGCTACACTTACGGGATGGCAACCATTGTTAGTCGTCTGAAGGAGCTCCAGAACCTGCCACAAAGTGACGCAACTCCGACGAGGACGCGACCCAGCTTGGTTCTCTAGAATCTGACTTTCCCGACGGTGGACCAACCTCCTTAGGATAATATCAGAAGCAATTCCGACCGCTACGGTCAGTAGACTGATGCCCCTTTATGGGTGAAAGGGCGCTGTGTACAGTAGATCTTCAGAGTCTCCGTTTTCAACCATCTGTGCTTGGGCGAACTAGGACATCTAGTGGCATATTGACTCTCATCTGCTGGCTCACTGAACTTTGATATAAATTCACAAAAACGAAAGATTGTGATTGCGCTCAATGAAACCTGTATTTTCACGAGAAAAACACGAAATGCAAAAGGTATCAAGTGTCCTCTAAAGTAAGTGATCAATAATGTAATCTCAGGACGGATGTATCCTGTGTGATTTTTTTCGTCCCTGAGTCATCACTACACGATTTCAGGAAACTCAATGAAGTATTGTCAGGAGAAATCACGTTTGAGCATGTAATCTTAACTCTTTGTTCACGTTTTTGGATTCGTCGTACAGCAATCCGTGAATATCCCTTTTTTCGGTGTTTCACAAACAGCTCGATTGTCCAAAATTTAGCGCAGATACCAGAACAGGTTCCCAGATAATTTACTTTAATTACTTTGGATTTTTCTGAACTTGTTCTCCTGCTTCACTATGCCACCCAGTTGTTGGTCTATCAGAAATTTACAATAGCCTCAATAACCCTGGATTGCTGGCCCGTAGATGTAAACAACGTATTATTTTATCATTTTCAGTTCTGTTTCCTTATTCCACTGTAGTGGACAGCTGGGTGTCCCACCAATGTTTCATGATACTTTCGTACTCCCACTATCTTTCGTTTTGTATCTATTTTTTCAATATTGATGCCGAAGGTAGTGAGTAGTGTTCTATGGCCATTTTGGGTATCGTTCAAACCGCGCTAAATGCTACCTTGATTTGGTGTCCTTTCTAGGCTATCCTGGGCGGAGACTTCGTTCTGACACATTCTTCTCGTTTGCTGGCGGAAATCGGCGACACAGAAATTATTGTTGTCTTGTCTCAGGTTATCGCTGACCTTATCCACGGAGAATTGCTCCAACTGACGACCGAGGCAGATGATACTCGACGATTTCAGGCATATCTCGATAAAACCTATAGGAAGACGGCAAGCCTAATGGCCAATAGCTGTAAAGCGGTGAGTTTCCGACCTGTTGTTCAAGGGCTTGAAGCCAGGACGTTGAGCCTGTTTCCATGGTCTCGTATCAGGATAAAGTCAGCCTTGTTCATTGTCCGTAAACTTACCCTGAGAACGAATTGTACGTATCACTTTTCGACCCTGAAGGATTTAGGTCATATTTGAATCATCAAATCCTACAGAACAGCGTACTTTTTTTTATAAATTTAATTAATTTCGTCTTGAAAGCATACAAGAATGAGTAAGCCTAAATGTATTATCGCCGCCTTATTGTTGTCACCTTTCCAGAAGACACCATTTTAGTCGTCTACTTAGCTGATCCCCCTGATTGGCTTTGGATGGATGTGCTTCTTATGCTCTCTCATACTCACGCAGACACTGTGAGTAGCATTACACGGAAGAATGGGTAGTGAGTTGCATTTGGCAAAGACAGACGACAAACGATGTGGAATTGGCATTTTCTCATAAATGAAGCTATGAACTGGATCTGTGCGTGGACCGATTTATTTTGAAATCTCGAACCATAGAGGTTAGTTTTTGTGGTTAAAGCTGAACGATGGAACTAACGTTAGACCAAACTTTGATGTTGTTCATGGTACTGAATTCAATTTTCGGCTTTTCAGTGACAGCAAAACTGATGAACACTAGTGCTTCACTGTGGTGCAACGATTTTAATGGAACTCAATGATGAAAAGAAGAATAAAATAGAATAAGGATGGGGGCCTTGGGCCAGCCTACACCTCCAAGACTCGGACAGGCATTCTGCGTAAAAATTGACATGGTGGACACAACTGGAGATCAAAAAGACATGTAGGGTGCACTATCTTTTCAGCTTCAAGCCCCCCTGGATTAACATTGTCTTGAGGCCCAACCCCTCAGTTGGTCGTCTTTCTCAACCTTCCGCTTATGTATAATATCACAGTGCTAAAGAGTTCTTTGCTTAACTTTCACCAGCTAGCAAAGACTTCAGAAACGATACCTCTGAGTTGCCTTCGTTAACTTGTAATCTAAGCTACATGTTACGGTGCACATCGTAAACATTCACGCACATTTTCAGAACCCCATAGTGTGTGTGCAGGTATTTTGTTATTTCTCCGCCACGCTCCCTTGTTTCAGGCTGTTATGCTCACTCGACCGAAGCTATCACCGGAGCTGGTCGATTGCGTCTACGAATTTGGGCGTCATTTCGGGATGGCTTTTCAACTGATTGATGATGTTTTGGACTTTGTAGCAGACGAAAAGAATCTGGGCAAGCCCGGTGGCGGTGCGGACCTCCAAACCGGTGTCGCAACGGGTCCAGTTCTGTTTGCTGCCCAAAGTGTGAGTGTGTCCGGAAGGATTCGACATCCTTTATCCTCGTGGCTGTTCTTTTTTCTCAAAAGTTCTATATTTTGTTTGTCATGTTGGACCAATCACGTTACTAGTTGTTTCCAGTGGTTGCCTGTCGAATTTAATCACTTCCCACACCTGAATGGAACCTCCGCTATGTGCTTGCTGGTTTTTGTCTCTGAGCTTGACAACTTTGCTGCAAGCTTTTCGTCACCAATACACGGGACCTCCGCAAACTGTTTGCATCCATGCCAGAATCGCCTACGCCATCTTCGGTGACCGGTAGTGGGAATCATGTTCTCTTTGGTTTGCACAAAGTTCACATAGCCTTGCAATTGGTTATTCTTAGGATACGTCAGAAGACGCAAAACAGAAGTTTATGCTAGCTCATCTAAACTACATCTTTATTCAGTGACCCTTTCAATTGTGGTGATTTCAGATAGCACTCTGAACACTACCGCCTATCTTAGTCATAGCAACCGTGTATCATTCTTTTTGTTTCATACGGTTGCATGCTTCACCGGTATATCCGACTTCCTCAGAGGGTTCTTTTTGCACAACCACACCAAGGGTAGAAACGAACCAGGAGAAGTCAAACAATGAGTTGGTAGAAAATTGAGAGCCATTACCAGCAAACTCTTCTGCGCTGGTCATTACTGTATCCCTGGATGGTGACCCTGAGACGGGAGACATTGTCAGATATGGCCCAGTCGTGCCCTCAATTGTGCTCATTCATCCAAGCTATTGTATTCAATGCATAGCTCCCTTCCTAAATTCCTCACTTAAAATTCCACTGATAACTCTGTATTCATGTTTCAATTCTATCCGTTCTCGCCTCCAATGCGCAGCTATCTGCGGCACCTCCCCAAATCATCGGTGAACGAAACTGGCAGCTATAACCATTGTACGACAACTAATTGATTCTCATATCTGATAATGCTGATGATGAATTACCGGTGATGTGTTGTTTGATTTCCTATTGAATATGCGTGATACCCACATCAGAATATAGTTGTTTCGGACCACCAGCGGCAGCTAACTAGGCTCAAATTCGGGGCAGCAATACATTTTTCGCCCTGTTCTCTCTCATGGAGAAACTGGCAGGAGCTGAAATTCAGCGTGTAGATGTAAATCACGTGTACCACTTGCTTGAAGAATTTCAGTTATCGAGAAATCCAGTGGTCAGGTTTTAGCGTATGGATTATCTACACTCACCGCTTGTCAACCGCTGTTTGCGTTGTTTTTTGCCACCGTTCAACTGTCCGGGCGCCCAGCGTAGTGTTTCCGCCCTGTTTTATTCATTTTTCGTCAAATATACTTCTATTGACTGGCATCATTCACGAATATCTCACGCAAATGAATTGACCCACTCCTTATCACTCAAGTGGGAAATGTTTGGGATCGATTGAGTAGTCATCGTTTCGTGAACAATCGGTGGACTTATTGTTTGGCAACTTTCGCTTTTGGCACAAAAGCTTCGTCAAGCCATGTAAATAACTAGCCAGCTCAATTGGGTTTTAATTTAGGCAGAGAACCAACCGGTGAAATTTCTTATGCCTAGCCGACTTGATCATTGCTGGGTGTCGGTCCGAATTTCCTGTTTGTTGGTTAGCGGGGATGATTATCACCCACGATAGGTTGGTTATGCGAGTTCGCTATTCAATCGAATCAGGATTTTGCAGCCCAGCTTTTCCGGTCTAGGACATCCTAATGAAGGGCAGGACCATTGGACTGGGGGGTGAGGATAAGTGGATCTCACTCTGCTTGGATTTTTTTCTAATTTTGGACCCAGACCATTTTACTGGTGATTGCATACCACCTCGTGTCATCTCGGCCGACCTAAAACCTCTCTCCATACGCTTGTCGTTTCTACACCGTCCATTCTATTCACGCTGGGATGCTTGATGATTTCTACCTCCTCGGTCACCAGTTGCAATTGTGTGACTCATTGTCCTTTTCTCTCCAAATCTTTCCTGTGTCCAGTTTGTGCCCTGCCATTGCCGAGTCTGAAAATCATATACGTTTCTGGGTTGCCTGTTTATGTATCGCTCACGCTAACCGACTCTGGCGTGCAATCCCCTCGCTATTTGACCTATATAAGCCTTCGTGCAGTCGTCACATTTCATTTTGTATACACACTCCCCATTCCTATTAACCGGAAGGCGATCCTTCAACTGAACCAGTACTGAGCGTAGAGTCTCCCTTCTGGAATGCCCCTGTTTTATGTGAGATTACTGCTGTTTTGACCCAGTCCTTGTCGGGTCCTTGTGTAACGGTGGTACTACTGATTGGGAGGCACGCGAGTAGTGTGTTTTTCGTGGCATTTCGCTTTGCGTCTCTTGAACAGGGGAGATCTGTTACGGAATTTTCGAGTCGCCTTACAACATTTGCTTGGATTTGAGCGAGCAATGATTGGAGTCAATGAATATCCAGGACAGTTCAAAGAGACGCGTTCAGGAGAAGATGGATGTCCAGTTTTTGTAAATAAGATGCAAATGAGAGTTTTGCATCCCTGTCTGTAACCGGTCAGTTGGCATTTTAAGTAACTCCGCAGCGAATGCCTTCTTTCCTTCACTCGTATTGGGACCGATAACCTTCTTAGTTGCCGCTTAATTAAACCCAGTGGGTATCCGCTGTCTCGAAGTCACTTGAAATTCTGCGTTGGTTGTTATTGGCGAACAGAATGCTGCAGGAATGAACGCGACTTTCTCTAGACGGGATAGTTAAAGGCATAAAACTATGCTTAAGTTTCAGTCGCTTTGTTTTTGACTAAGGGGCGATATGGCCCAAGTGGTTAGAGCGCGAATCTACTGACCGGAAGGTCCGTAGTTCGAATCCGACCTCCGCCTCTCGACTTCCCCTGTCTAGGCTTGGGTAAACTGGCAGTATCCGAACCCTCGTGCTTCCTTCGGGTGGCATGACAACCATGCACCGAAAGGTTGCTACAGCTGAACGCTTTCTTTTCTTTCAACTCTCAAGAACAAGGTCTATCGATATCATCTCCAATATCCCCGATTTTGGCCGACATATACATGAAAAACTTTGAACAGAAAGCTTTGGATTCGAGTGTCCGCCGAGTGTTTTATGGCATTACGCAGATGAAATTCGTTGTGATAAAGCGGAATAAAGTTAGCAAATTCTTTGAACATCTCAACACTTTGGACCCTCACGTTAGGTTTAGAATGGAGCTAGAGTCCACATCGGGTACGCTGCCTTTCCTTGATTGCGTGACATACACTATCTGTTGGGAATGACCAAGTGGCTCCATTCCGGTAAATGAATGATTGGCTGATTCATGTGGGTGGTGGGGCAACAGTGTCAGTTTTGTGCAGCGGGATGTGCACAAAAGGACACACGAGTGCACTGGAAAAAACTTCGTCAGAACTGTTTTAGGAACAGCCACATAACAGCTATACAGCTGTACCACTTATGTCGCTGTCTAGTATTGGCCATGTTTTTTGTTTCGTTTCCGTCAAAGCATCTCTGGCAACTCCTTAGAATTTTATGCCCGAGTTCTCGAATATTTCTGCAGTCTTTGAAATGCAATTGTTTGCAGGTCGATTTGTTTTTAATGGGCGACTCAACTGAATTCCGGCTGATTCTCCTTTCTTGGGGTGAGATGTTTCAGTGGTTAGAGCGCAGCTTTACTAACCGGAAGGTCTGTGATTCGAAACCGACCTCTGCCTCTCCACGTCCCCTGTCGAGTCTTGGACAAACTGACAGTATCCCAGCCCTCACGCTTCCTTCCGGTGCCATGAAAGCTAGGTACCGGAACGGTGTTACAGCCGAACGATATTTTTCTCGTTTTTGGTATTCTTTCAAAGATTTTCCAGTAACCTTATGTGTGGTGTTCCATCTCTGCGATCTGTTCAGAAGAGTTGTTAACCGCAAAAACTCGCAGGTCGCGTTCGATAAGTGGTATCTATTGAAACTGACAATGGTTATTACTGTGGTTTACAAATATGGTTTCTGTATCTTTTTTTCATCTGAAAAGACGTACTATGAATGTTTTTAGTGCGCTCCCTCAATATACCACATACTTTGCAACCCATTGGATAGTTGGACCGCTTTTCCATAACTTTAGTTGTTAGTGAAAAGTTTGCTGGGGTTCGTAGTTTTTACGTGTTTAAATGCCCCTTTTGAATGCTTTTTTCTAACACAAGTTTCTTTTCGGCTTTTTTACGCTCCTGAACCAAAGTTCCCGGAATTAGATGAGATTTTGTTGCGTCAGTTTGGTCTGGAAGGTGACAAGGAACGGGCCTTGGAACTCGTGGAAAAAGTGAGTATCGCCTTGTCCAGATGAATCGGTTTTTACTTTTTGGACCTTTTTCCTCCCAAAGCGTGCATTCAGGCTTCCTGTCGTTCAGGCAAATTCAGCATTGTGCTCTTTTGACTTTCTGTCCTTCACGGATAATGTGCATTACTTTTTTCACTTCAATTGTCCATCCCAGCATCCAGTTTTAGGATATATCTTCGTATCCACGCATCCCCATCCCCACAAGAAAAAAATGAATGCATCAAAGAATAGAACGCGGCTAACTTAGAAAGGCTTGAATTTTCATGACGCAATCAATCACTCAGTCAGTCAACTTAATTTATGAGCTCTGAACGGTGTACCATATGCAGATTGGCTCCCACTGCTACAGTTTTGATCACCGGAAAGTGGGAGTGTGGAACAAACAGCCAAGCCTTGGAGGCGATGGCACATCTGGTTAGTTCGGGAACTGGGTAGCTACGCAGTGAAGACGATGAAGAAGAATGTTGTGAGAGGACAGTCTTGTCTTACACCCCGGACGTGGTGAACTCAGGCGAAAGCTTCCCGTATACACGTACGCACCCACAGGGTTCGCATACAGTGCCCTCATAAGGGATATCAATTTGGAAGGAACACTTTTGATCACCAGACACTGCTAAAGTTTCTGACGATTGCCAGAATCAAAACCAGCTTTCAACTCAAGAAAATTGACCAACAGGTTTTGACGAATCTATCTCTCCCGATCCATCAACTTGCACAAATTAATACCAGAGAATACCTTGGATGCGGCGGATATAGGGCTGATACCACGGTTTTCAACTGAGGTTCTCGCACTCTTTTTGAAAACTGGGATGACGGTGGAGCTCCATTCGGTTGGTATTGTTCTCATTCCAAATCTTCTACAGTGCGGTCGTGAGACTGTTCACCAGGACCTCATCACCTTATTTGGAGAGCGCGGGTTGCAGACCACCCCGTTAGGTGCCTTGTCTCACTTCAGGATTGATATCTCCCACTGGATTTCGGTCGTTGATGATGGTTTGGTGTCAATGTTCCATTCGGACCCGCGTTGTTCATCCAGCGGTTTTATTAAAGGAGACCGCTGAACTCTTCTCTGAAGTGCTCAACCCATTGCCCAAGTCGATGGGATGTGGAATTTTCGTCCCATCTTTTTCGCATATTATTTCGCTGACACCCACCTTTTTTGACCGGTTGATCGAATCAGTTGAAACAGGGCGCGGCTGTTACCTGCAGCGACAGCCTTCTCCATCTCGCGGGCCTTCGAACCCTTTTCTGCCATTCTTCAAGCTCTTGGTTATCCGGTGTTTGAGGGATCTGTATGTACTATCACAGTCGCTAATTGCTGGTATAGACTTTCTGGCAGCAGCGGCATCTGATCTCGACGATATCTGGCCATCGAGTCAGATGGCTCGTATACACATCCTGAAAGCTGCGAGCTTCCATTCAACTACCAGGCAATCTTTGTCATCCGCATGACTGTGCGTTTCCATTAGCTTTCTAGCCAGATCAACTCGATGCTCTTCAGCTGCTGAAATTGTCGAAGTTGGTGCTGCTCTGCTTTGGTACGCGTAATGTCAGGAGGAACGGCTGCCTTAATTGACGCTCTCCATCGGTACCAAATGGCCGCACGGTCCATTCGAGTCCGTGACTGTATTTCGGTTGTTGGCCTCCAGGTAACTCGATGTGAACGCTTGTGCTGGATGTTTGTACTGGCCAGGAACAGACAATAATCGCACACATTGTGTCAGTTGTATGCCGGTTTTCTTGGATGAGGTAGAGTATCATCGCGTCACTTGTATGATTTCTGTTGTGAGTCATGGTTTGGAGATAACATCTGGTGACCCGCGTAGCGTTTGGCAGCCTGCCTCCGAAGCCGGTCTTGGCAAATGCACATTCTCAAACGCCTACGACATCGCTGTCATACGGCTTTTCAGCACTGCACAGCCAAGCTGCCCCGGCTTTGTTGAAATCTGTTTTAGCGAGACAGTTGGTGGTAATACTGAGTTGGTGATGAAGTGCACACAGCGAAGAACTGTTTGAGTTGACCATCGAAGTCATACGTCAACAAATCATGGAACGACAAGGGGTACTGGGTCTACGAATGTACAGCTTCTAAGAACGTCTCATACGTTTGAGATTGGTCATAGATGCGTAAATCTAGAAAAAACGACCAGCTCTCGCTTCCTCTTGATACACTCGAGGGACGAGATGGCTGAGTGTTTAGAGCGCTAATTTACTGACCGATAGGTCCGTGGTTCGAACGTGGCCTCTGCATCTCGACCTCTCCTATGTAGGCTTGGGCAACCTGGCAGTATCACAGTCCTCGTGCTTCCTTCGGGTGGCATGGCAGCTAGGAACTGAAAAATGGTTGCGGCTGAACGGTTTTTTGGGATACTGGACGCTGGCTGCCTGTCGAAATCAGACCAGTAGTTGTTCATTTTCGTATCGCCCCAATTTGGCCTGGCAATAAAGTTTTTCCAAAATGGAGCATGAATTGAGGGACGTAAAAGAGCACGCACATTCCGCTGCCCCATCTTGGTTTTGGACCAAAATATCGCCGCTAAATACTATACTAGAGGAATCGAACACTACTACCCGGAACGAAGTAATCTTCCCAAACAGTTTACAATGAATGAGCCTAAACATTCATTTAATAATTGATTCTGAATGACATCGTTTATTAATCCATAAAAAGACGAATAACTCGGTCAAACCGAGATACATGGGCACACAGAATGGGGCATGACAACTATTCCGCTCCCAAGAGAAAATTTGCCTTTGTGAGGATCATTTCTGGATTTCCCCATGGTTGGTTTTTACACGGGTGATTGTAATTTTGTGTGTAGCCGCAAATCACCTAGACTTGTATTCTAGTTTGTTGGTGGTATTGGGTTGGATGCTACCAATTCATTAACAACTTATTAGGTCTCTTTGTGTGGAATCGGCCAGCACTCTCCCACCCCATTTATTCAAAAATTGTTTGTCTCCCACAGCAACATTATAAAGACTATGGGGAAGCCATTCATTGCAACTTGCTGCTAGGAATTTCAATGACAGTTCGAACCATCTGAACCGTTCGGATTCTACCTCTGAGCATTCCTTTCCTCCACCATCGATTCTGTTATATGCGGCGTTTTGGCTTGTTCTTTGCTGTCTAAGCCAAAGAGTCTTTCTCTTTTTGGCGAGTTTCAAACGTAGAGGACCTTGGAGCACCTCTTTGGCATGCCTGACACTGAAATCCAAGTTAGGGAACTTTTCCACATTTCAGGTATTCATTATCCGGTTGCGTGTAGTCCTCAACAATGTGAACTGGTCAGATTTTTCGTTAATTCTCATGCCAAATGAGACTGACCAGAGTATTATCCACCAACCAGTGCAAAACTAGCCTCCTCGGTTAGGTCCGTTTTTCGAATCGTTGTGCATGGATTAATGTACGGTTCCTCATCGGATGACTGCCTATTTGTGTGAAAAATTTGAAGGCAAAACACACTGTATGGAATAAGATGTTGTCTGCGGACTTTTCAGCTGCCTTTGGCAATGCTTTTCAAGAATTTCTACTGTCAGTTGAATGCGACTGCGTTATTTGGGTCCGCTGTCGCGTCTTCCGATTGGTGTGTTATTGGCGGTCGGTTGCAACCAGCATGTGTGGGTGTTTGTTAGTTCTCTGCGGCTTGGCTGGGATATACCTCCGTTTGTTGTTGAGCTGGTAATAAAATCTCTTTCCCCATGAATCTTGCTTAACTTTAAGCAGATACCTTTTTGACGCTATAAAATAGATCACAATGACCAACTACACTACTAGTGGTGCAGTCCCAATTCCCAGTGGCAATCGCTTGGGATTCAATAATCCGGGCTCTAATGTTGAAAAGAGAATAGTCTGCTACGAAACCCATTGTGATTTGTCAGTAGGGGGGATTTGGAGGGTTTCTATGTCGAAAATCTGTCTGTCGCGAAGTGGTACGTTCACTAGTATTTGAAGAAAACGTCAGTTCGACAATGCAGTACATGCGCCTGATGGTATATCACTAATGTTTACAAGTCGGTATTAGAACCAAGTAAAATTAACTATAAGTATAACGACCACAGATTTGGCTAACCTGCTAAGTGCCGCGATTATACAATCAACTTTACGGTTCAGTCTGTTAATGAGAACACTACAGGCAGTGCCGGCTGGACACATTGAATGAGTGCGGAGTCGATGACACAGTTTTCAGTGCGAATCGTAAATGTGCTTAGCGGTGTGTTCCATTGATTTTTCTTTTGGATGTATGCGACAAGGTTAAATATTCATACGGTTGATGGAAAATGGTGTCCGGTTTGTATGTTAAGTCTCATGCTCCCAAAACCCAGCACACTGAATCCTCGTATTCAAGAAACTGAGTTGAACGTAATCTGGAATGAATAGTACATTACTGGGGATATGCGAGTTAAAACACGTTATACTGATTTTATTTCCGATCTGTCCTGTCTTGTGTAATCATCACTCTCCTTGATCTCATGTTATAGCTATTAAGCAAGGATATGTCCTAAACGTGTTTCATTCATCTTACGTCAACTCTCATCAATTTTTTATATTGGTTGAGTCTCTTCGGCTCACCACAGAAGCACCCAAGTTTATCTCACTAATAATACCTGCTTTTTGCTCTCTTTCCACAGTCGGATGGAATCGGACAAACACGCATGTTGGCCGAATTCCATTTTCAAGCTGCCCAACGATGTTTGACACGCTTCCGGGATAGCCCCTCGCGGAAGGCTTTGTTGCATGTAGCCGCCAAATGTTTACAACGCACCAACTAGATCCAGTCTCAGCGATAGAATCAACACTGGTCTTTCCTATCTTTCGACATATTTTGCGTATTCGACTGATCGGCATGGCCTCAATTCCCTTAGTAGACCTTTTTTGTACTGCAGAGTACATTGGCAATAAGCACCTCTCTTTTCTGCCCCGTCTTGACCACCCTGACCTTACAGATGAATCTCCTCCTTTATCGCCCATCCCATTCTCTGACAAAAAAGCAAGCACAAATCTAGTGATAATAAAGTCTGTTCCCTCACTTCTATCTCTTCTCTCACTTCTATCTTCTCATTCATCAACCGTGAGAGTAGACTCTTCCCATGGTGAGCTTATCAAGCTACCAGTACTGGTCTTTTTCAACGAAGGAAGCATAGGCAACCTGTGTGGAATTCGGTCCTCTTTTCTAAATCTAATAACAACGTATCGGTTCAGGACTTCCAGTCAATTGTGGAGGCCGTTGGGTTGCCTTTGGATGGAATTGTTGTGTACTGGATGAGAGCTTATTAGTAGATAGATGAATAAGGATTGGGAAGAGTGAATTGTCGGACCTCGTTGTTCCTTGGTTGTTCAGTCTCTGGTGAAGAGAAGTGCTAGCCCGAAAGTTACCAATCTTGAGAGTGGTGGGATTAATTCGCCGATATCCATGTGCGATTTGTTTACTGGAATTACACCGGATAAGCACGTCTGCCTATTGCGTCAGTATGCGTCACCAGTGACCGTAACCCACCTGTTCCCTTTGTATGTTCCCTGATGTGGTCCTAATGCTGTCTGTGAATAGCACAGCTGGATTCCAGAAATCGCTTACTCAAACTAATACACCGGTGCCGCTATGTTTCACTGGAGACGGCTGCCGGACTTCCACATGTTTGGTTCAGTTTATTTCCAAAACTTCTGATGCATCTGCGGGCCTAGACATCCACTTCATAAGCATTGTAAACTTCAAGCAACCACATAGTTTTACGGAGTAGCCGTACGTAGCAAACACTCCCCCGTGCAGCCATTTGCGTGGCAAGACAGCAGACATCCAATTTTTCTGGCTTTCTGGGTTTTCAGTGTATCCAAAAGCTGATAAGGCAAGCATGCGCGTTCCATTGCTGTACGGGGACATTAAGGGCGAGAAGTTAGGTATATGGTCCTACTAGGTCAAGTTTAGTGTCCCGTTTTGATATTACTGCAGTCTGTTCCAACGACTTTTAACTCGCATAGAACCTAAGATATGGAAAATGGGCAAAAGCAACTTTCGAGAAACTATGCTTCTAGTCATTCAATGCGGAAAATTTCGCTGTCCCGGTTACGAAATTTAATAGAATGCGTCCATCCTCTGGCTGTATCTGTGTGGATTTTTTCGAGTCGCTGGCGCATCATGGACGTATTTTTGGATACACAACACAACCCCGAGGCTGTTGCCAGTGATCCGTTTGACATATATAGCCCATAAAAGCGCGGTTGCGTTTCGCACACTCCCATGGTGACATATGTGTTCCGTCTTTTTGAGCTTCATAGTGTGCACGCCAATGTCGGTATAACTTTTTCAGCGCTCTTTCTCAATTTTAAACTTTCACGCTGCCCTCAATAAGCCTTTTAGGTTTTAGCCGTCTATGCGAATCTCCCACCTACATAATTGTCATGAGACTCCCATGCCTTGCACATTATAACAATTCACGCACTCCGGTTTTAAATCCCCTTTCTTGATCAGAATCATGTTGCAATAGGGTGACATCAGACGGCTAGGTCCAGAGCTCGTTGTGGTGGCCGCTCTCATCGCTGACGTAGATACCCACCAGGTCCACCCACTTGAGAAAAGTCCAACAACAGATTGTTTGCCCTCTGACTGCGGCCAGCATGAAGGCACATTGATGTTTTAAGCAGTATCTTGTGGCATACCATTTATTATCGGCTCTGATTTTGATGCACCTACTGGCAATCTCCTTTTGGGTTCGTATTGCTCAAATCATGTTCTGTTCGTTTTCACAGTTTCACAAATCTACTTCATTCATCTAATTCATTGCTACTGTTAAGAAATCACGTTTTCTAGGTTAACAGTCACCGAAACATCCCACTTTCCTATGTCCACATGATTTGTTTAAACCGGGGAACATTCGTTTTCTGTTCACTCGGTGCGTTCCGTTCAATCTGGTTTTGTGAACCCAAAAACCACCTTATCTGCATGACGAGCCAGAAATTGAATTCTCTGTTCCGTATACTCATATGAATGTCGCCTTTATTCACGATGCTTTCAACCGGCATTGAGCTAACAACAGGCTGTTGAATCGGACTAATTTCCAAGGTCACCGGACGCGGAATGTATAATTTATTAACGGTGCCTTCAATTTTCTGCCGGCGGCTAGACGCACAATGTATTT